TTTACCGTGAAAGACTCTAAGACTTTAGCCAACAACAGAAGGCATTTATCCTTGTGGTAAACCCAACAGAGTGGTGCTCGTCCCACATGGCCATTTATCTGCATGTTCGGTAATTTCTTCCTAATTAGTACATATTGTTTGCAGCCATTATGTTCATATCTCATGCCACCTTTTGGGTTGCTGCCATAACACAATCCGTATCTCAAGCCCAACCTTCTTAATTAGTTGCCCATTACGTACTTCTTGCCCTTGCAGGATTCATAACAATCCCAGTATCTGCAATCCAGCTGTCTCCTTACCCGGAAGCTTCATCGGTCCCTCTCGCAGTTCCAGCCAGCAACCCGGAAAGGTTGGTCTGCCCAGGCTTTAGGTGCCTGAAGGACACCCTCCCTTTGGTTCATACTTTCGGAGCATATGCCCTTTTCCTCCGGTGTGTCTAAACCGGCGGTTTGGCTAGTGTGTTCCCCCACTAAAGGACCTGGTCCTACAGTTCTCCAATCTCAGGTTCCGGTTCGAATTTAGCCTTTCATGTAATACTGTCGAAGATCACTACTACTCCCAACTCGGAACTTGCCAAGCAGGTTCCAGAATCTTCTCGTTCCTCGGTGTTACCAACACTACCAGAACATCCTATATCTGCTCGGCAGTACGCAAACACCCAACAGTGACAACTTTCCAATACAGAGCATTGGTGTGACCCGAGGTTACAGATTAATCTAAGCTCTAACTTAATGAAGATTTGTTACCGTAATGCAAGCCTATTTTTTAAACTTTTGTCGTCTGTGGTATTTGAACCCTAGACCTGCTACTTGGAGAGGGTGACGACTTGACCACTTCACTAAACCGCACATCTCTTTATATTTGGTATATCTAAATATATATCGATATATATATATATATATATATAATATTAACTAAATATCTAATTAATATAAAGATTATTCACATTTAATTACTACCTTAAAGATTATCAATCAATGCATTAATAAGCTACTTTAGGGTTACGAATTTAGAAATATGATACAATGAACAATAATACTTTATTTACGGAGTGAATTCTAAAAGATAGCACAGATGTAGAGAATTATAAATATACTACGTAATGACAAATATTGAAAACGAACAAAGGATTATTAGATCAGCTTAAAACACTATCGCTATTATAACCCGTGTAATAGAGATGTGACCCGGTCATAAAACCCGGTTTTTACATGACCAGGTTACATCTCTATCATGAATTATGATCTATCTATGTACTGTTCGTATATACAGTACATAGTAATTGTGCATATATACTTAAGTATTCTATCTAAGTTAGTGCACAATAGAGGGATAAAGATGATTGTTCTTGTTGAGCTTCTTGTATATTGATGAAAATTATGTATTGGATTTCCTGTTTTTACAAATGTTCGCTACTGTAATATACTTATTCAGAATTATATCATATGATTTATCAAGGCAATAAGCATAAAATAAAAGGGTCCACGGTCATATTGTAAGAGACCTGTTACATATAAAAGACCACCAGTTCCAACCAAAGATCTATTATTCTTATCTATATCTATTGACCATGTAAAAGAAAAGGGCCTTATGATCACATTGCAAGATATCTGTTTATATAAAAAATTTACTTATCCGTTCTCTGCATATTCTAATTTCAATTGTTCTATAGTCTGGTTACCGATTAAGAAAAAAAAATTCTGAAATACTATAATAACGATAATAAACTGAATTACAAAGAAAAAAAAATTTTATACTTCACATTTTTACTATATGATACAAGATTTGTTTCATGTCGTCATATGTCATCATATCATATGCATATCGTAGCCAAAAAAAAAAAAAAAAAAGCATAAAAATATCTTTCTTTTTCCCTTTATAGTGAATTTTTTGATTTCAAAAATAAAATTACCTTTCTCCTTTCTTGAAATAAGAATTTTTAAGCTTTAATGAAACGTGTACGTATAAAATTCAATAAGCTATTTAAACTTTTTTTCTAACCCCATGTCTTCACTAAAAATGTTAGCCTTCTTAATTTGGCATTAAAGATTATTGTATTCTTTTTTTTATACATATATTGTATATTTTCTCTAAAGATTCTAAAACTTTCTCGTTATAAGATTTTTCTCATTTATAGAAAAGAAAAAAAAAAAAAAAGTGAAAAACTCCCAAAAAAACTTTTAACAATGTCCTTAGATGAAAATACTTTCCAAGTTAATCTTGAAAATATAAATAGTAACTCTTCTCAAGAAAATATTACAAATGATTATGAGAACGATGCTTTGTCTGTTTTTTTAGATAATCAGCCCATAACAGAAACTAGTGCTGAAAATCAAGAGCTGCACTTTGAAGAGCAAGAACAGCACTCTGAAGAAGAACAAGAACAGCACTCTGAGGAAGAACAACAGTCTACTAAACGACAAAGAACTGCATATCCTTTGTGGAACTACTTTAGCTGGTCTTAAGACAAAAAGTTTGCTTTTTGTAAATTATGCCGTACCTATTATAGTAAAACTACAGGAATCAGCACAATCAAATGCCATTTTCAAAATCAGCATAAAAGTAATTATGATAGAATTCAACAGTCAACCTTATTGATGCAAAATGTTGAACTATATAATGAGAGAAAGGTTAAATGGCTTAATAAACTTCTTGTTCACTGGATCATTTGTGATTAACAAGCTTTTCAAGTTGTTGAAAATGATAATTTTCGCAAGTTAATTTTGGCACTTGACCCACGCTTTAAAGTACCGATGAGACAGACAATTTTAGATCATATTTTACGTATATATGAGCAAGAATGAGTACAATTGTATAACTTTTTTCAAAACTTTGATCATAAAGTTGCAATGACTGTTAATACTTGATCAGTTTGTACTAACCAAGCTTATCTTTTAATTACATTACATTGGATTAATGATAATTGGTATATACAATGTATTCTCTTAGATTTAATTCCTTTACATAAACGTCATACTGGAGTTTTTATTGCCGAGAACATTATAGAACAAATAGAATATTTTGGGCTGGATGCACAATTGTTGTCTCTTACTGTTGATAATGCCACCAACATGGATACATATAGTCATCATTTAGCAAGCCTACTCCAATTATATTATAATAATACTAATTTTTGTAGAATAAGGTGTGCATCTTATATATTGAATCTTGCTATTAAAGCAGAAATATTAGTTCTTGATAAGTCTGTAAAAAAAGCTCGTGAATTTTCCAGCCACATTCAATACTCTCAGCCTTGTTTTGAAGAACTTAAAAAAATATTCATGATGAAAAATAAACAATTTCTCGTGCTAGACCTTGATGTCGACACAAGATGAAATTCAACATATATTATGCTTAATAAACTTTGTCGAATTCAAGAGATGACTGATATTTTGGTAGTTTCGTTACCTGAGCTTAGACCCTTATATCTAACCGATGATGACTGGGAAAAAATAAGCATAAGTCTTTTTTTTTTAAATTAAATGATAATATATATATATTTATATAAATCTATTTTATAGTCAATTATTAAACTTTTGGAACCTATATATGAAGCGACAAAGCTTCTTTCTTCTATGACCCATCCAACACTTGGAAACCTAAGAACAGTTTTTTATGTAATTATAGAAATTCTTGACAATGTTCAAATTGAATTAGACTCGGTTAAAGGAAGCATTGTGAAAAAAATCAGTAACAAAATTGATCGCTATTGGGATGAATTGCAATCATATTTTTATAAAGCAGTTCTTCTTGACCCGTCAACAAAATTCACAACCTTTGGAAGCGATACTCAAAAGTATAATGCATTGCTCAAAATTCGGTCAACATATCAAAATTACATACCATTAAAAGAAAACAATACTACCTCGCAAGTTGAAAATTCGATCCAAACAATATCTGCACGTAATTATTTTAGACGACAAATAAAGCAAATACGTTACAGTAGTTCTACATTGCATAATGATATATTAGAAGAGTATCTTAATACACCTGATGAAGATGCAAATGTTCTTGCTTATTGGAAATCAAAATCTTCATACTTATGATGGGCACCTCTTACTTGCATAGCACATGATTACCTGGTTGTCCAAGCAACCAGTGTATCTAGTAAGCAGATTTTTTGAGTGGCTAAATATACTATAAGTGAAACACAAAATCGTATAGATGCTGAGAAAGCATGTGCAAGCCTTTGTCTTAAAACATGGTATGAAGCAGAAATGATTAATAATTGGAATAATGGTGAAAATCAGTTTCTTTAATAAGTCTTGGTGACTTGGTTATATAGCACCTACTATTTTTTTTTTTTTTTGGGTATTTTTTTTTTTTTTTTAATACTCTTTCTAAAACCTGATTTTTTTTTTTTTTTTAGTATGTTTTTACGGGTTTGCTTTTTTATAATCAAGGTTTCTTTTTTTTTTGATATTATTTTCATTATTAGAGAATTTGTCTTCATATAGAAGAATATTTGTGTTAGAAATGTGTTAATTAACTTTTTTTAGTTGGGTAATAAAAATTCTGCTATGTTATCTGTTGTAAATTGGTATTTCTCTAATTTTTTAATGTTTATAGGTTTTGAGATCATAAATGCACAAACTACACATTTGCGCAATCCAGGTTAAATATATATAATAAGTGCATGTTTACAACATATTAGCCTTATTTGAAATAACTTGCGCATAATAGTCATGAAGAATTCTCATGATTACGTATTATGTGTAGGCTTTTTTTGTTTATCCAAATATCATGTTCCACAAATATATTTATTGAAGTGAACAATATTAAAATATATTGTGAAATGATCAATTTAATAGATGAAGGTTTGCTTTAATATGTATATATAATTAATACACAATCTGCATGATTATCCTAATTTGGTTAATGAATTGATTCGATCATAAAATACTTACATAAAAAAGCTACATGATAAGTTAATATCATAAGAAAATTAGATATACAAGAAACGAAGCGGGGAATAAAAAGAAGTATCAAAGAAGTTTCTGGTGAGTGTGTGTTTAAGTTTTGGTTTTGGTTAGAGGCACAGGAATGTTTAAATAATGCCTCATGTCAAGAATATTAATTATATTATTAACGACACTTGTGGTGGGCTGATATGTAATTTGTAATCTATTTTTATTATCATTTAAAGAATAACTTAATGTAAAGTGGTATTTATAGTCAATCTTTTTATCTGCTTGGCTGACTCAAGAGATATGGATTCGATATATATATTTTGATCTTATACTGTAGATTTGTGATATAATTAATAGTTTTTTTTATATTTAATATGAGCATTTAGCATTTATTGTAAAACTATTTATCAGCATCGTCAACAATATATTTTTACAATCTTTGCTTGATGTTAGTTTAGATTGTAGTTTAAACTTTTCATAATACGATTCTGTGATTAAAGGTGTTTTCAAACAGGTCTGTGGGTAAATTTTTATTAGTAAAAAAATAGAGTAACTATTTATTTTGACATTCTATAATAGTTTGACTTTATATAATTTAATAATAGTGAAAAATACAGTAATTAAACTTAGTTTATAAACTCAAGCTTGAACTTAAAGCTGACCTGAAGTTTATGCTTTGAGTTTATGAACTCAAGTTCAAACTCAAGTTTAACCTTTAAAGTTAAACTAAAGTTCATGAACTTCAGTTCAGTTCATTTTTTTTTTAAACTTCTTGGGACTGAACCAGAACCGGACTGAACGAACCACTTAACATCCCTAGTAATTTGTTGAGCAAACTGCATATATTCTCGAAGACTATTAAGCAGACAATTTAAGCAAAGTTGAAACAATATATTATCAAATATATATAGTTATAAGGGTTATTTAATATTATATATATAGTCAACAGTAAGTTTGGCTTTGAGTTTGGTGAAGATCTAATCTCTGTTAAATTTGTTAATGAACCAGATGTTGTGAAGTTTTTTATATTTTTTGATTGCTATTTGCAGAAGTAAGTTAAATTCCTTTTGATATTGGAGCTAAATTTCTTTATTTTTGCGAATAAATAAAAAAGACAAAGTCAAGGTAGTTGAATTTTTACTAATAGTATGAGCTTAAATTTTGTATTGGAAAAATTTTTTAAAAGTTTCAGAGAAGAAAAAGTATTAATGATATTGTTATAGTCTCATAAGTTAATATTAAATTTGATAGTTTGGGCTTTAGAAAGAGCTTTAGCTACTAAATTGGCCTAGATAAGTTATTAGTCAAATTTAGAATTGTTTGTATAGATATTTAAGGTAAGTATTTTGCTTTAAGATTTTTTGACAGGTGCTTGGGATTCTATAGTTGCATTAGATTGCATGTCTATATTGTTATCCAGGTCTGAGGTTGCTTAGGTCAGATCAATTGATTTGTGTCATTAGGTGCTGATGATTGTTGTTCTGGATTCTAGGGTTGTTTTAGGTAAAATTGAAAAATAAATTAGCTATATAGTGGTTGATAATTATCACTGTGGTTTGGGCTATAAGAATTTGTTTGTTTTGTTCTATATTTGTTTGTTTTAATCAAATAATATTATTTGATTTTTTAATAGGGGTTTGCTAGGTTGCCCACTTTAAGTTAGTTTTTGGAGAGCAGAGTAGAATGGGGTTGGAAGAAAGATGCTTGTAGCTGCTAAGCTTAAACTTTTGTTATTAGTTATTTTTTTCTTTTTGAGTGAAGGTAGATTGTTAGGTGTCTTGGCTTTTGTTTTGCTTTTGATATTCTCTGAAGTTTTGGAAAGATTCATCAGAGTAACTTGAGATGCTATTGGTGGGATGAAGAAAGATTTGAAAGCTTTAGGAGTGGTAAGTAATATACTCTAATTTTTCTTTAGGGCATTAATTAAACTTACTGATGTGTTTTGGATACCTTTATAACTATTATTTAGCTTTAATTATACTTTGATAAACACTGTTTGTTCCTTTTTTTTTTACTGTTTATTGTTTGATAATCTACAGAAAATAATTTTTGTTATATTTCAGCTTTGAAGTTATTAAATAATTGTATGATTTTATAAGAAAATAAGTATGAAGTTAAAATTGAAATTACTAAAGATTTTGAACAAATTTAGTCTGAATGCACATGTCTTACTAAATAAAAACTTTAAATTATACAACAACAAAAAAATTTACTTTACTTACTGATTCTACTAGTTATGCTTTATAAAATTCAAAGATTAGATCTTTGTTTTAATATGCATTTTATTATAAGGTAAAAACCACATATTAGGTGTTTGTTATAATTGATCTCTGCTGTGTAACTATATGAAATTTTTACCCTTTATCAGCGATTTTCCAATTAACTATTGGTCTATAATTAGTGTTAAGCAAATTAGAGTTTTTCAAATTTTATATGCAGTGAATTTTGGCCCGCATTATAGTAGCTTACTGCTAATGCGAACCAGAATTATGTTCTGAAATATTCA